TATTCTCGCCTGAGCCAATTCCAGTAACTAATACCTTAGGTGGAGAAAAAACCAGGTTTTTGGAAACCTTTTTCATATCTGCTATAATAATAGAAGATATTCGTAAAGATAAAGATCCATATGAAATAGCAAATATCTATTTAAATAATCATCTACACCCTTCCAATAATGATAAAACCCGAGAATGGTATGACGCCATCCTCCTGGAAACAGGGTCTATAACATTGGTCCATTTCTATAGAAAAAATACTAATACAATAGCATACTCCAAATTCCAAATACGGAAGATAATATCATATAAGGAATGGGATATGGATACAATAAAGCCCAGAAGGTTGCAAACGGAGGAATTCAATAATAAATATTTTAGATATTCTGAATATGTTGAGGCATGGCATAAAGTCTTTACCTTCCAAAATAATAATAATTCCCATACATGGTTCATTCAAATAAAAATACCAGTAATAGGAGACTTTCCCAATTGGTTCCAAAACTAGTTCCAACTATGGGGATCAGGAATTGAAATATTACCACCTAATATTCAAGCCTCACAGAGGAAATTCATTGAATACAACAATAATGGTACAAGAATAGACCTACATATATGTACTTTATGGCATTATATCAAATACCATGGATCGTGAAATGGTCCTACCAAATATCAGATAACTATACAAATAATTGGGAATACATCCCAGAATTAGGGAGACAATATATATAAAATGGTGGGATGTATATGAAAATAAGGCCCTTTACCCGGAAAATATAAAAATGAAGAAGGTGCCAATCTCACCGCCTGAAGCAGGAATCAATATGACAGACTCTACTTATATAGTCTGTAAGGAATCAATAAATATTTGTTTTTCCTAAAAACAAATATATATATATATATATATATGGAAAAGTCTTCCCAACACCTATAGGCGCAAAATGAACAGTGATTTCGCCTACCCTTATTACAAAGTTGTAGAGAGAATAACAATTACAACAGAGTAACAGTAAGACTTACAGAGATCAAAGAGTTTCGGAGGTAGTAGGGAGATAGCAGAGTAACAATAAGATATTACAGAGGTAAAGAGGTAGTTGAGGGTTACAAAGATAATAGAGTGGTAACAGAGAGCTTACAGAGTTATTTCTGCAGAGACAGG